CGCGCATACACATACACATGCACATGGTGGAATCGTATAAATTATAACAGATAAATAATTCGATAATAGTAGGATTGCGGGAATCGACGAAAAAACCGGCAACTTGCGAGCGATTCCGACAGGAAACGCGTTTTCTCGTGTTCAGGTAAACGCAGCACGCGAGGCGGATTCGAGGACATACCGTGTAAAATTAGACCAGCGCGTGGAACGGAATTCGAGCCAATCAAGCAATCCCGAATGGAAATGGGAACGCTTCGGTTGCTATAGAAAAGATGGCCGGCAATGCGGTGGTTTCTATAAAATGGCGGTTGTTGTGTCCACCCGTCGCTTGTTCCTTTTTTTTTTTTTGCCCCCGCTTCTCGCACAGATTTCAACCGATACTTAACGCCTTGCCAATTTCTTTGTGAGGCCAATGAAATTATCTCGTTTCGTTCACCGAGCACGCTAGAAAAACATTCCGTATGCAAAATGTAACAACAGTTTAACCAGAAAGTTTCTTTCAACTTTTTTCCAAGAAAAAAAAAAAAAAAAAAAAATTCTAATGGAACGATCTAGAGATCCGCAAATGGGAGCACAAGCTGCTGGTTTGACAGCGATAACGAGGGAAACACCAATGTCAGCGAGGGAAGAAACGAATCTGGTAATATTACAAAATCGACACGGAATATCGAGACTACGATCTCGATAGCGGTACGTACGTACAAAGTGGCACAAGGCAAGCCAGTCCCACTTCCCTTTCCTCCTTGCATGTACGTGCGCGCACGGCATATCTCATTCCATCATCGTCTCCTACCTGTCCATTCTTCCTAAGGAGTGGTAACTTTCCAAACTTCTCGTTCTTATCCTTCGACTTTTTTCTCTACACCGCACGTGAAATGTGTCGGTACGCTTTGAACAACAAAAAATCATATAGTACAAGTACTATCCTTTTCTAACGCGAACTTAACTCACTGAAAATACCGTTTTCTCTCTCTCTCTCGTTGCGCAAGTCCTTTTCTTATTTCGGGACAATCACCGAACATTCGAACTACGTTTCATGATCTTCGATGTACGGACTGTATCAAAAACGCTTGAGGCCTGAAATCACGAAAAATGTGCGTTTAAGGAGTTTCTTCAAAAATGCAAAAAAAAAAAAAAAAAAGATAAATGCGGAGAGAAGCTAGAAGCTAGACGCGATCTGTGAAACCAACACACTTGTTTTACATGGAGAATGACAACGGAGCGGTTCGCTAGAGAGAAAAAAAAAAAAAAAAAAAAAAAAAAGAAATGTAGGTCCGTAATCAACAACGAGCCAGTATGTACGTGGCACGAGGCCGGCGGTATTTGCCAAGTTACGAAAGTAAGCGGTTTTAGAAAGTACAGAAGGCTCGAGGTGAACGGCGCTCTAACGGCTGGGATCTTGCACAGCAATTACAAAGTAGCTTTGCAACGACGATCGGGACCTACGTGTTGTTCAGCTGCTACGCAAGACTATTCCGACGAAACAGGTGTATCCGATTTACGACATATATATTCTCTTCACAACCGCTGAAATGTTGAAAAGAAATTCATCACTCGGACACTCGAATAAACGACTCGAATGGAAAAGAAAAAAGAGTGACTTTAAAAACTCTCCTCACTCGAATGCAATTTATTTCAGGAACGACATTTTCCGGTCGACCGACGTACGCACTGTACTCTACACACGCTTTGAACAAGCGATGGTGAAATAATTTGCGTATGCCTGGCGGCTGTGTATGTTCGTCGATTGTGCGCGCCAACTGGAGAAAGACGGAACGATGGACGATGGGTAAGAGTGACGATGATAAACACGTTCGAAGAATGTGCCAGTACTCGTGCAGTGTTTTCCGTGATCCCAGAGCCTTTTCAACGGGGTACATTTACAGCTGGGGGAACACGGTTTTCACTGCTGAGCCCGCGAATATACGATCATCTTATACACACTTGGTCTCATCCATCCAAACTGTACCGTCGTTTTTAAAATCTTAAAGAAAAAAAAAAAAAGAAACGTGGCATCTTCTTGTTGGTTAAGAAAAAAAAAAAAAAGAAAGTACTTGGAGCAATACGTTCGATAATATCGTTGAAAGAGATGTGTCGCGAGGCCGATAGGAGAGAGAAAAAGACTGACTGTCGTAGCACAGAGAGCCAAGCCAGTTTCTCACCCCCACTGACCTAGCGACCGAGAAAAAGATCAAGGTGTTGTGCGTTGCGTCCAGGGTAACGGGGTGTAACGTCGAAAGAAATACTCCTTTTTCTTCTTCTTCCTCTTCTTCTTGTCAATCCAAACACTCTCCAAGAAGACGTTATCTTCCACCAACCGCCGTAACAAACGTTAGATCACACACTGGCCCAGCGAGAGCAGAGCCACGGTTTGATCACGTGACGTTAGGTTGCGTCACAGTTGCCCCTCTCACCACTTAACCGACGAACCAACCGAACGACGAGGCCGCCATCTTTACCCACTGATAGACCAAAGGGAACACGGACACGAGCACCGCTGACGTACGCGAACGTTTCCTTTCTTTTTCTCTTCCTTTTTCTTCTCTCTCTCTCTTCTTTTCTTCCTTTCCTTCTTTATACGCACAAAAAGTGAGTTTTTTGCGTCGTCAAGTTGATATCCACCAAATCGATCGGATCTTCTATCGTTCCATATTTCCTCTTCTCTCTCGGCAACTCGCACAATTAACTGACTCAAGAAAGAAAGAGATAGATAGCTAGAGAGAGAAAGAGAGAAATTTGTTGGATCTTCCAATGTGCCGCGCTGGCACGCGTAGTGTTATATATCGAACTATCGGTTTAACGTAAAACATACTCGGTACACGAATATATTTGCGAAACGCCGAAGCTCAGAATGCTGATCACGCGCCACGTGAAGAAAAAAAAGAAAAGAAAAGAAAAAGGAGAGAGAGATAGGACGATTGAACGAAATATTATAATTTGAGACAACAGTCGTATTCGTGCGAACGCGAACGCACATTTTATTCCCGGTAACTGACCTTCGCGAAACACTTTCGCGGAAAATTGGCAAAAAGAGGTGATGAAAACGGTGCACAACAGTGACGGTCCGAGGCTTCTCACAGTCGGTTCATTTGGAAATTCGATGCTCGGTTGCCCGGTTACAGGTTCGGCCTTTTTGGTTTTTGCACGGAGAACGGAGTTCGCAGAGCACGACAGCCACGACACAGCGTGAAATCGGACGACGCGCGGCACCACGACGACTTCTAACGACGGCGATGCATGAAAAAAAAAAAAATCGCAGAGGTCCAAGAGCGACGAGGTGTATGTAGCTGGCCCAGACACTACCGCAACGACTTTGGATCTTCAAACTGAACGGAAGAGCAAAGTGACGGAGTAACATCGTCGTGGAGAACGTGGTCGAATCGAACGACGGAGAGGTCTCTCCTCCTTTATTATCTTCGGATTCGGAAAACTGCCGGAGAGAGAGAGAGAAGAGAAGAGGAGAGAGAGAGAGAAAGAGAGAGAAAGAGAAAAGACTCGAGCGTTAAACACGACCGACTCCGACGGCGAGCAGCGACGAACGAGGATGCGCTCGAGCGCGTAGCCCGTGCCGCACTCTCAGTTTATCCCCACTACTGGCTATGATCGACATCCGGTGGCAACTGTGGCGCGCATTCGCGAACATTTCTGTTCGCTGATTGGTGCACAGCCGTTGCTATTTGGCCTGTCATTGGCCGATTGCGCACCACGAATTCCCGCGGCGTTCACTGTCCACGGACACACACACACACACACACACACACGCGCACGCACACATACACATGCACGGAGGAGGCCATTCCCGATCTAACGCGACCAATACTCGGCGAGGACACCGTGTACATACGCGAGTCACACGATACAGAAAGGTACGAGCGGCACATGCACGGCGCACGTGTGTACGCCATCATCGACGTATGTACATTATCGTTCCTTCGCGCGTGCGTGTGTGTTGGAAGATTCCACATACGCCCGCGCTCTGCCGCTACAGTCGTATGACGATGGTCGAACAGGAACTGGCCGCAAGCCGCGCGGAAACGCGCTACTTATGCCGCCGATGGGAAGAAAACCGACGAATCAAGGCGGCCTTTACAGCCACCGCCTTTTGGACACTGTGTGTGCTCTCGCTCGGTCCAGATACGATTTCCCGAAACGTGCGAACACGAGGATGGGACGTCAGCCAATCCCTTCTTGTCCCCCGACCCGCAAAATCGTGATAAATCGTCGTGGCGAACGTAACAGCGTCGTCGATGCGAATTCGTCGGAGCAGCGCCTCCACTTTTTCCCTCCTCTGAGTACAAAATTAATCAGGTTACCATTTCGTTAACGTTAATACTCACGCCGTGAAACAACGCCGCCGAGAGACCTTTGACCCATTTTTCTATCGATCTTCCACGTCTCGCATATAGAACACACACACATACACACACACACACACAGGCACACACACTGTAGTATGTAATAGTCACCGATCGTTCAGGATTTCAACTTCTCTGTCTCGACTGAAAAAGGATGCCTTTTGCCTTCTGTCGAAGAGAGAAGTAAAACCGTCGAGTTCTAGGGATCTACGTAATTATCGGACACGCGTTACGATCGTTAACGTTACGTAACGCGCAACGTTCTGCGAAAGCGACACGAATTACGTACGCAATGTACGGAGGATCGAGGTACAATGACGATCGATCTGTCGTCGCACGGACAGAGAAGGGAAGTCGATGATCACAGATTACGTCCGTAGAGCACGAAGGGAACGAGAAATCGTTCGATCGATTCGCGGCGTATGCAGAAGGAAGTCTGAGAGACGGATATGCTGGAAAGTCGAGCCGATCGTTACGATCGAAACATTAAACGCGAAAGAACGATGCTACGTGAATAGCGGTTAGTTCGATTAACGAAGCTCGCGCGCACAGCGCGGGGGAGGGGAGGCGAGGGGAGGGGCGGTGTTGGTGGCGGTGGTGGGTCGGCAGAGAGAACATTGGAACCTCGGACTCGGTCGTCCTATTTCCACGCTCGGGAAGGTTCGTGCGGCGTGCCGATCGCGCACGAAGCAACGGGGATATAAGTAGGTCGTTTCAAGCGCACGTGTCGTCCTTGACTCACATAGTGTGGCGCGCAGGCGCTCACCGTTGCCGCATTGCTGGTCGCTAGGGCTTTTTCTTTGTTCCGTCGGGCGCGCGCGCGCTGCACACATACACAGGCGCGCGCGCCTTCTCTCACGAGTACACGCGATGTGTGTGTGCGTGTATGACTGTTACTCGCACGCACCTCTCTATGCACTCTGCGAAATGAGCTAGCGGCCTAACCTTATCTGTACATACGTGTACGCATTTATCGCGTCCAATGTTCTTTACGACTCCGTTACTTCTGCCC